TTGAAAATAAATAGAACGTGTTAAATGTAAAATAATAAATAAAAATAACAATATATTATCATTACTTGTTTTCATTTTTTTCAAATCCTTTTTTTGTAATTTTGTGCTTTTTTAAGCACTTTTTTTAATTTTTTTGTGCTTTTTAAAAATATTTTTATGCTTTTTTAGGCACTTTTTTTCCATTTTTTTGTGCTTTTTTATCCGGTCTTTAGTGATGAATATGCATACAGCGTGGTTTTTAGTGCGATAGAGACCATTATTTCCGATGGTGTTGAACTTTCGAAAAATAGTTTCAGATTAAAGTTGTTGACGCACAAAGTGCGCACATTTTAAAAATATCTTATGTGGTATCTTATGATTTTTTCCTTATTGTGGTCCCAAAACCTTTATATTTGCATATTAGGAGGCTTCTTAGGTCGCAAACAAGCCAATGAGCGCAAAAAACACAGAAGTGAAATTTTGATTATTTTTGATCGAAAAATTCATAAGTGGGGAGGGTTGATCTTTTCGGAAAATATCAAATCTCTCAAACTTTTTCAAATTTTACATCATTTTCAAGGGAACGATGCCAGGAATGCTAAAAGATCTTTAAAAGACACACTGCAGTGTTCTGATCGGAAATAATCAAGATTTTCTGATCATTTGAGTCATTTTTGAACGGTCACGATCTTCAACCGAGGATTTTTTTCTTATTGTGATAAAAACTTTCATGCATATTTTTTTTTTTGCATATTAGGAAGCTTCTTAGGTCCCGAACGATCCAACGAGTGCAGAAAACACGGTCACTGCGTTAAAAAGTTTTAGATTGAAGTCCACATTGTTAACACCCTCTACAATGTATTGATATTTTGGTTCAATAGAATTCTTAACGGATCTGTGGTGATTGGAAAGACGTATTTTTTTGTATCTTTAACTGCTTTTTTTGATTCTACAATGAATTTTTAGATACCATGTTTTTAAGCAAAAGTTTACTAAAATGGCAATAATCTGCCAACGTAGCAAGTAAAAGAAACAATTTACGGGGCATATGTAGCGTTTCACGCTGCATTCCATGAGCTAATGAAGAATGGGTAGTTCTATTTAAAAAAATACAAAATGCCTCGCTTTTCTGAGACACTCTGTATCACATAAGATAGTTTTAAAATGTGCGCACTTTGTGCGTCAACAAATTTATATGAAACTATTTTTCGAAAGTTCAACACCAACGGAAATCATGGACTCTATCGCACTAAAAAACCACCCTGTATACATACTTGTTTGTCAATTTTTCGGGGCTGAAAGTTCAAAAATTCTATATTTTTTTACGTGTTATTTTAAATCAATTCGTCATTGAAGTAAATTGTTGCTGAAATAAATGTATGTCGGCGTTGAAATCAATATTTCTATTCAATATTTTTTTTCTGAGAGTCTAAGACAACATTATTGCCGTATTAAGCAACAAAATAGAGCAAAAGATCAAAGGAAAGCAAAGCAGAAAAAGGAAGAATTTAAATTTGTCTCAAATTCAGGCACTATAAACATTACAAGTTAGAAATGAGAGCAAGAGGAACTATCTATACAAGTGATTTGAAAAAACAAATTATATGCATCATTTTTAGCTTTAAAACAAATCATAAAACTGTTAAGTGATTGTTTGGATTTTAAGCTTGAAGACGCTGTAGTTTACGCCTACACAGAAAATAAAAACATCTGAATCAACTGATTTTAGTCTGACGAGAAATAACTTCTGTTGTAGGTACTGTTTGTTATAACATTCATATACACTGGGCCTCACATCAAGCCGCAGAAGAAAGCTTTTCAAAGCGAAATAGTTAGGAATTAAAGCGATTTGCTCAGGATTCTCTAATGAAACGCAGCCTGTTGTAAACGAAAGAAAATGTTTATTTGAAAGCAACTGATAGAGAACAAAATGCTATTTTTAGCGAACGCAAAATTGGGACTTTCCAATTAATTTTCCGTAACTATGTTCCAAACTATGTAAAGGTTTCCCGACAAATCTTAAAAGCGATTTGTGACATTCATTAAAAAATAAAGTGAAGATGAAAAGTTGCTATCCAACGCGATCTGTCTACAAGCGTAAAATAACTGTCCATATGAATGGAATTTATATGAATATACGATTGATTTAATGGCAGTAACAGGACCCAAAAAGCGATATTCATTTAGAGTTACTGCTATTGTGAAGCTGAAATCGTTTGAATAGTTTTTAGCGTTTTTGTTTGCCACATGTCCATTAAAATCAATTTTTGTTTCAGATGGTTTAGAGCAAAAGTCCAGAGTTAAACGCCCACGGGCGCCTCCTCCTCCTGATCCGGAAAATGATGTTGATGGCGATTTTGATGAAAGAAACAATGATCTGAGCACAAATTTCGTACCTGCCGGATTCCTAAGCCCTTCAGTGCTGGAATATTTAGAATTGGGCAAATCCATTCCAGGTAATTTACCCGGTGGTAAAGATATTCGGCAATATTGCATCATTACCTTAAAAGCATTTACGGGACATTAACTTTTACACGACCTTAGCCAATAAATTAATAATTGTAGAGAGGAAAAATAATTAACCTTAATGACGATTTTTAACAACGTCTTGGCCAACCTTGCCCCATATCAAAGTCGAGCAGTCTTCCAACTACATACAAAGACAGTTTAACAATCAATAGCAAAGGACTGTCTTGTTTATAATAATTTAACCGTATTCGTATATGCTAATTTCTGGCGTTAATTGCGAATAAAAACAACTATCATAGTTGATGGTCAACGCTGATAGATAATCAATCTGCAGTTATTTAATTAGATCCGTAGTAATGGTGTGCAAGGACTTCTATCGTCTAGTGTTATTGTCACGATATTAATCTGCAACTCATATCTTATCAATGGCTTAGTGTTAGCTGTTAGGCTCCGCTGAAATTATGTTTTCAACTTTCTTACATTCATTCAAACATGTTCTGTATCGTAAAGCGTATGCCATTGTAATGCAGGAGAATGAGTAATAGAAATATTTAACCAACAGACAAGGTATTTCTAGCCAGATTTGATTGATGGTTACATTTTACATCAAGCATATCTACAAAGAAGATATTTGCTTAATGAAAGCTATATATAACATTTGAACAATCTGCTTGATTTTTCTTGAAAATGAGGTTTGATAGACCGATAAACATGTTGGGTGTTATCTACCAGAAACAACACGAGGAAACAGGGGAGAAAATTTAATTTCAACAATAAATTTAAAAAGCTATACAACATGAAAAGAAAATAATTCAGACGCAAGCAACAAAAAAAAAATATACACATATTTTCGAAACTGCAACCTCCAGGCGAAGAGCAAATGTGAATGATATGATCAAATAGGCAAAAAACTATAAAATAGTATTGAGCGAATGAAAAAAAATATATGAACAAGAAAGTAACCATTCTGATAAAAATAAAATAATAAGGATAAGATTCGGCCTATCAGTTCGATGAAAGAAAGTAGCACTAATGAAAGCAAATCAAATAATTAATTATGCTACTAAATGCATAGAACACCAAAGAGTAGACAAATGCGAAAAAACAACAACGACAACGGAGAACGAATAATTAATTAAACTTATGCAAAACTATAAACTAAAGTATAAGACT